CGAAATGGGAAAATGAAGGATTTTTGGCTTATTGGTCTTCCAAAATGCTAAAATTTCGCCAAAATGCTCAAGATCTCTGCTTTAATAGTTAAGAATGTTACCGGTCATTTGGGGAAATTAAGAGGAATATCAGGAAATTGGGAGATTAAGAGAGGTATCAAGAAATTAAAAGAATCTGAAAAAGATAACAAGGGGATTGTGAGAATTAGACGAAGGAAGTGGAGTTGAAGTGGAGTGAAGTGGAGTGGAGTGGAAGTAGAGTGGAGTGGAAGTGGAGTGGAAGTGGAGTGGAAGTGGAAGTGGAAGTGGAGTGGAAGTGAAGTGGAAGTGGAGTGGAAGTGGAGTGGAAGTGGAGTGGAAGTGGAGTGGAAGTGGAGTGGAAGTGGAGTGGAGTGAAGTGAAGTGGAAGTGGAGTGGAAGTGGAGTGGAAGTGGAGTGGAAGTGGAAGTGGAGTGAAAGTGGAGTGGAGTGGAAGTAGAGTGGAGTGGAAGTGGAGTGGAAGTGGAGTGGAAGTGGAGTGAAGTGGAGTGGAAGTAGAGTGGAGTGGAAGTGGTGTGGAAGTGGAGTGGAAGTGGAGTGGAAGTGGAAGTGGAGTGGAAGTGAAGTGGAAGTGGAGTGGAAGTGGAGTGGAAGTGGAGTGGAAGTGGAAGTGGAGTGGAAGTGGAGTGGAAGTGGAGTGAAGTGAAGTGAAGTGGAGTGGAAGTGGAGTGGAAGTGGAGTGGAAGTGGAAGTGGAGTGAAAGTGGAGTGAAAGTGGAGTGGAGTGGAAGTGAAGTGGAAGTGGAAGTGAAGTGGAGTGGAAGTTAAGTGGAAGTGATGTGAAAGTGAAGTGGAGTGGAAGTGGAGTGGAAGTGAAGTGGAAGTGATGTGGAAGTGAAGTGGAAGTGGAGTTGAAGTGGAGTGAAGTGGAAGTGAAGTGGTAGTGGAAGTGGAGTGGAAGTGGAGTGGAAGTGGAGTGGAAGTGGAGTGGAAGTGGAGTGGAAGTGGAAGTGGAGTGGAAGTGGAGTGGAAGTGGAGTGGAAGTGAAGTGGAAGTGGAGTGGAAGTGGAGTGGAAGTGGAGTGGAAGTGGAAGTGGAGTGGAAGTGGAGTGGAAGTGGAGTGGAAGTGGAGTGGAAGTGGAGTGGAAGTGGAGTGGAAGTGGAGTGGAAGTGGAGTGGAAGTGGAGTGGAAGTGGAGTGGAAGTGGAGTGGAAGTGGAGTGGAGTGAAGTGAAGTGAAGTGGAGTGGAAGTGGAGTGGAAGTGGAGTGGAAGTGGAAGTGGAGTGGAAGTGGAGTGAAAGTGGAGTGAAAGTGGAGTGAAAGTGGAGTGGAAGTGGAAGTGGAAGTGAAGTGGAAGTGATGTGGAAGTGAAGTGGAAGTGGAAGGAAGTGGAAGTGATGTGGAAGTGAAGTGGTAGTGGAAGTGGAGTGGAAGTGGAGTGAAAGTGGAGTGGAAGTGGAGTGGAAGTGGAGTGGAAGTGGCTTTGGAAGTGGAAGTGGAAGGAAGTGGAGTGGAAGTGGAGTGAAAGTGGAGTGAAAGTGGAGTGGAAGTGGAAGTGAAGTGGAGTGGAAGTGGAGTGAAAGTGGAGTGGAGTGGAAGTGGAAGTGGAAGTGAAGTGGAGTGGAAGTGGAGTGAAGTGGAGTGAAGTGGAGTGGAAGTGGAGTGGAAGTAGAGTGGAGTGGAAGTGGAGTGGAAGTGAAGTGGAAGTGATGTGAAAGTGAAGTGAAAGTGGAGTGGAAGTGAAGTGGAAGTGGAAGTGAAGTGAAGTGAAGTGGAAGTGGAGTGAAGTGGAAGTGGAGTGGAAGTGGAGTGGAATGAAAGTGGAGTGAAAGTGGAGTGGAGTGGAAGTGAAGTGGAAGTTGAAGTGAAGTGGAGTGGAAGTGGAGTGGAAGTGAAGTGGAAGTGATGTGAAAGTGAAGAAGAAGTGGAAGTGGAGTGGAAGTGAAGTGGAAGTGATGTGGAAGTGAAGTGGAAGTGGAAGGAAGTGGAAGTGATGTGGAAGTGAAGTGGTAGTGGAAGTGGAGTGGAAGTGGCTTTGGAAGTGGAAGTGGAAGGAAGTGGAAGTGGAAGGAAGTGGAAGTGGAAGGAAGTGCTAAGGAGGTGGCTTTGGCCATCCAAAATTCGTAGTTCAGTTAAAACTAGTGAAAATTTGAGCTTTTAATTAATTTTTAAGCTTTTAAAATTTCGCCCTATTTTAGTGGCTCGGAAACATTCACCCTGGTCAGAACCTGTAAATTTATCAGAATTTAATGAAAATCCTTTGTCAACAATTTGATTCATATCAAGTCCAAAATCCAAAATAATTTCGCCGGTCATATTTTTTTCTTCAACTTGTTGATATTCTAGCACTTTATATTTTCCTTTCTCTAAATAGAGGATTTTTAAAATAATTGTTAAAATTTTTAAAGCTTCAGTGCCTCGTTTTAGTTTATTTTAATATTAGAATATGTTTTTTTTGTTTCAAAAAACAGAGCTTTTTTGAAACAAAAAATCTCTAAAATCGTAATAAATGAAAAAAAATATCGAAAAATCCTGAGTCCGACTCAGTCAAATTTTATACACATTTTGGATTTTCTAACTTTTCTTGGATATTTTAATAAAAGAATTTTTGGCTTTTCTGTCTTCTGAAATTTCAAAAATCTTTGCTTTCGACGCTTAAATGCTTTCTCTATTGAAACCAGCTTAATTTTTAGTGTCCGAATCCTGCACCGAATTAATAATCAAATTAATGCGTTCTTTTTTAAACTGACCTTCCTTTCTTTGATTAATCATTTCTTGTGTTACCAAAAGGTATTTTTGATTCTCGTTTTCTATTTCATTTGGATTGTTTTGTAAATTAAGCATTGAAGAAGATCCTTGACTTGGAATTGTTGGAAATTGTGTATAAGGATGGGGTGGGGGTGGTGGTTGTTGATGAAGCGAGGATTGAAAGTGATAGTCTTGGTTATGTATTTGTTGAGGAGGGTAATGCTGATGGGTGAATTGATAAGGGATTTGTTGGTTATACCCCCACAGATTAAGATTATCTAAATATTAAATTTTATTTTATCATTAGATGACTGCTTCAAATTTTTTAGAATTTTAAAATATTATCTACCTAATTCTTCTCCATTATTGTTTTGGTAATTCTATAATTAATTTAAAAATATTTTTATAAAACTTTAAATGAGTTCACAAACAATCCAAAACAAAAATTTTGCAATCTTCGCCAAAATTTATTATTAGGTGAAGTTAGAAAAACCGGAAGCCGATAATTTTTGAAAATAAATGGAGTTAAACTTCCAAACGTAACTTTACTTTACTAAATTCCAAAACCGAAAATTTAAAATTCTGATTGACCAAAAACAGGAGTGACTACTAGTTAACTTATTTTTTATTATAATTCTAAATGTCTTATACCTGAGGGGTTGTCCATTCTTGACTAATTATCGGACTATACATTGGTTGATCTTGAATATTTTGAATATTTCTAAAATACTCATCATCATCATTTCCACTTCCAAAACATTTAGAAAATAACAAAATAAAAGTTAAAACATTTAAATAAATCATTTTTAAAAATAATTATAGCTAAATTTAAATTTATTTTTAGTAAATTTTATAAAATAAAATCTAAAATTGATTTTTTTATTACTGACAGTCAGCAATGGCAGTCCTTAAGAAGGAAGGGGAAGGAAGCGTATTGCCTAATTAAGTAAAATTAATTAATCGATTATTAAATTTAAAAATTATTAAAAATTAAATTTAATTAATGTGTAAAACTTTAAATTAAAAATGAGTTAAGTTAATTAATAGTTTCAGCATGTTTAGATAAACTTTGGGATATACGGCATAAGAACATTTTTATTTTCTCTTGTGAAAATAAGTCGAGGCCAAGAAATACCCTCATAAAGGAACTTCAAAGCTTAAATAATTTTAACGCAGCAAGCTAAAATTTTTGGATTTTTGAATTCATTATTTTAAAATTGTAAGGATGGATATAGAAAAAGTTCGAAGTTTGAAATTATAACCTTTCAGGGAAATTTTCCCCTAGGAAAAAAGTTGTTATACCCCAAATCCCTTCGTATCTTCTTTTAATGTCTACATATGGGTTGTTCAGTAAAAATCGTAGCAAAAATTGAATAGATAAAATGCCGCATTAATACCGGACCGTGCCTTAAATCCTTTTTTATTTAAAAATTTTTCATTTTATTAAACTTTTTTAAAGCTTTCGACGCTCGAAAAATCGGCTTAATTAGCCTCGATTGGCAAAGGCCTAATCAACCAGAAGAATTAAGCATACTTTCTGCGCCAGCTCCAATAAATGGTATTACGGAAAGAGAATTAAGTATTGTAGCTGATTCACCTACATATCAGTAATTTTTTTTCCTTTCATGGTTATTAACACAAAATTCCGCAAATAATAACTTAAACTCAAAAAATTTTCTTAACACAAGGAATTTTAAACAAAAAGATTTTTATTTTATAATAATTAAATTAATTGTTTGCTGAATTAAGGGTAGAGAATCGGACAAATAGTATATTTATTCGATCGTATAATCTCGAATAATTTTGAATTCTAAATTCGACGATTTCCTTAGTGAAAATCGAATTATTCACCGATTTTTAATAGGAGATTTTTCTCCGTGATCTTTTAATTTTTAAAAAATTTTTAACACAAATTTTTTACCTGCTGTGAAATTATGAATGATTAAAGGGGATACTGTGTGATTTGGAGGGATTTAAAAAATAATAAGATTAAACGAGATTTGGTTAGATGAAGGATATTAAGAACCTGGAATGATTAGGAGGGAGATCGGCGATATTAGTTGATTTGTTGGAAATCTAGGGTATCAGGGGATCTTAAGTAATATCATGAAACATTTTCACTAAAACGATTTTCACCAAAAAAATATTGAGATTGAATTAGAATAAAGAGAATCAAACTAAACAAGGAAATGTTTTTCTGTCGATTAGGGAACAACTTACAACTCTTGGAAATTTAGAAAGTTTCTAGAACGAAATTAGGGGGATTTAGGTAATATGATTCAAATGATTACAAAACATGCAGAATTTTGTGTACGTTAGCCAAAAGCTAAAAACTTAATAACAAATTTAGACTCCAAATTCGTTTAATCGGTGCTGAGGTAAATTACTCAAAAAAATTTTTATTAATTTTTAATCTTTCAGACAGCTCTCCAATTCCGCGATGCCTTAATTGAAATTCCTTCACCCCACCACACATTAACAATTCACTGGCGTGGATGGCGTGTTGATATATATTCATTACAATCCCCCTTTGAAGTTCGTGCATTGGCTGGAAGTGAAATGTTGAGAATTAATTGTTATCAAGAAGCCTTGACAGTTGATGTTTTTGCTGATAGTATTACCGTAGATGTTAAAAGATTGTCTAGGTGACATTTCTTGAATAAGATTTAGAATTTTTGGGGAGTTAGCAGAACTTAAAACATGATTACCACGAAAAAATTTAAAATTATATGGATATATATGTGATAATATGATGTTTACGGGATCTTATTTTTAGCGGGATCCCGCAAATCAAAAAAGAGTGGCATTGGGAGGCAGAATCCTGTCACGCGCAAGTATTGAGAGGCAGGATCTGGTCCCGTATATTTGTTGAATCTCAACAAACATAACAAAGGCCGTCTTTTTTTTTGGTATTTCCGTCTTTTTGTTACTTTGTCTTACGATTTTTAGTATCCTCAGCTATTAAATCATCTTTTAAATTCCCAATTTTCCTTTCGCTTTCCAAAATTTAATTTAAAATTTAGGCTTTTAGTCAACCGTTCGTCATCCTTTCCCCCATCATTATTAAGAGTTAACGGTGCCCAGATTTCTTCTCCTCAAAATGATAACAATGAAAGTAATAATATAATAGACTTGGCAGAATTACTTTCTAGACAATTACATTTGGCATTAAGTAGAGATGGAAATCAAAATAATTCATCTGCAGCAGTTTTGGCTGATGCAAGAAATTCTCAATTAAAATTGGCGAGGGCTAATCGAACTACTGTAATTTATTTAAAAATAATTACAGGCTTACCTATTGATAAAATATTTTAAAAATAAATTAAAATATAAAGGCAACATTAACTGCTCTAAGACATTTTGTTGAAATGCTCGGAGGCCAGCCTCAATTACAATTATTAGCCGGCAATGTTTCTGTACGGATGAGTGCAGGACATGACGAGGAAATTTTCTTCCTCGATACAAAAATTTTGCCTAGAGAATTGTTAGAGCCTGAAGCAACGTTGGAACAGGATCCGTTTGGGATTGGTTGGTTTTTGAAATTAATAGAGGATGTGTTTAGAGGGAGTGTATTAGGAGAAGATAAGGAGAGTCTTACAATTAAATTTATTTCTAGGACCAATTGTTCCAACAGTTTGGCCAATAGGCCCAGATTGGCAAAACACTGTCTCTACTCCTTCCATATCCTCACCAACACAGCAACGTACACGTACATCACGTAGGCCCATCACTAGCTCATCTAGAATGTAAAGTATTTGAATTTTCCTTTCTTTCATTCCCTATTCGACCCAATAATTTTAACAAAAAAATTTGCTAAAATTCAGACCTTCATCCTCATCAAAAACAGAAGAGACAACAACAACTGAAGAGGTAGAGGAAGAAGGTGAATCAACAATGCAAATGGCTCCACCTAGTGAATTATTTAATTTCAGACATTCATTTCCAACAACAAATACTTCTTTCGAAATTGAAGAAGATAAAACGAATGTAATAAAAAGAATATAAATTTCTTATTTTTACCCATAAAAAGGAAATGATTTTTTAATTCAGATTTCACAAGATTTGGACAGTTTCCCTTCTCCCCAACAGCATTTATTTACATTTTCTCCACCGTTCGCAGATTTTCTTGTTGGACAGTTTGAAACACCTGGTACTTAAAAATTCCTTAAATTTCCTAAATTAATTACACCTTTTCTAAAATATTTTTCCCTTATGTTTGGTGTTGAAACGCCAAAACATTTTGATATTGGGCCGTTTGCTGGGGTGGTTATTGAAATTTTGACAAAATTTACACCATTTTGACTAGGTGTAAAAGACGAGAGAAAATCTTATAATACTTTTTTTTTAAATTTACAAGCACAAAATGTTAATTTAAACAATTCAACAATCCCCTCTTCCTTTCAACCCATCAACAACAATTCATTCCCAATTTCTGCAACAATATCAGCATTACAAATCCCTCCAAATTTGGAAGAAAATCAAAAAGTAAATGAAGCTGTTTATGAAGATTTTCCGGGTATTAGACGTGAAAATAGACCAAAACCAGAATTTATTTGGAGACCTGAAGAAAATCAAAAAGATGAAAAAATTAATGACCAAGAAGAAGAAGATGAAGAAAATGATGATATTTTAGAAAATAAAAATATTTCTTTTAATGAAAAATTGAGAAAAAAGAGAAGGGATGCTAAAACAACAAATTTTGATTTAATTGAAAGAGAGGAGGAAAATAAATTGGAAAATAATAATAGTAATTAATTTTTTTAATAAATTAAAATTCGAGTAAAGCATAGCTGGGCTATAGTAGCTATTTCTCTCCTTCAGTAGTGCAAAAGGTTATTCGGCGGCTGGGAGTGAACCAGCATCTTCATTAGACCTGATAATGTGTTGTCAATTACACCACGCCGCCTACTGCATAGCAGGGTTGCCGCGGGTACAAAAAATATCGGGTACGGGTTTCGGGTTTCGGGTTGGAAAATTTTCAATTCGGGTATCGGGTTTCGGGTACAAAAAAAGGCCGGGTTTCGGGTAACGGGTTTCGGGTTTCGGGCGGCAACCCTGCTGCATAGCCTTGGGAATTAAATGGCTAAATGCTTTATATTATATTGGGATAGTTGGGGATAGTTACTAGTTAATTGGGGATACTAAGATACTAGAGATTGGTCTGGATTCGGATCCAGTCTGGATTTTTCCTGTATCCAGGTCAATAACCTTTTCTAGGTTACCAATATAAATCAGATCCAGAATTCTTTAAAATACCTATCTCTAGTCCATGATATACAGAACACTAATTGGTAAAAACCCCAACCTCCAATTGGAGGAATTGTCTATTTTAAAATCGTTGGGGAATTTCTGAACATCGTTTTATTTAAATGTGCTAAGAAAATCTATTTTATACAAAAATGGACAGTTCCAAAAATTTTTTTTTTAATTTTATTTACTTTTATCAGCTACAATATTTATTATTAGCAACAAAAACAAAAATTCAACAAAATTTCCCCAACAACAATTTGTTCGTTCACCAGCTCTAAAAGCAATAATTACTAATTCACTTCCAATCCTTCCAATTGGATTATTAGCTTTAGGAATTTCATTAGCCATAATGTTAGCTAGTTTACGGCCTTCAAACAATGCTATTAAAGTAAAAAATAATTTTTTTAATTTTTGGATTTTTTTTAAAATAACAAAATTAAGTTTTTAAATCTTAAAATTACATATAGGTATTTTAAAAATTTTTAGGGTAAAGCTTGCTTTTATAAATAAATGAAGGTCGTTCAAAGATTTAGAAATTTTGGAAAAAGTAAAATATTCCGTCTAGGGATGAGAAATGCCAATATCTCCCCTAAAACTTCTTAATCTTCCATGTATCTCTACCCAAACAATCATAATCCCCCGACACATCTCTTAATCCACACAAATTCCTTATATCTTTACAAAATTTTATCGGATCCTCAAGATGTTTTATTATTAAAATTAATAATGATTTTTAATAAATTAGTTTAAGAAAAAATAGGGTGTATTTAATCTCATGTATTAAAATAAAATTTGATTTTAGGGAGTACGTCGTTGGCTTAAAAACTTAACTAGAAAAAGAAGGCATAATATTTCAACAAATGGAAAAATTCAAAAAATTTGATAAAAAATTGGATTCCATATTTTTATTTTTTTAGAATTATATTTAGTTGATTTTTAATTTAAATTAATTTAATTTTATCAAAATATTAATTCTTTAACCACTCAACACAATTTTAAAAATAACGGAATACGGTATTTAAAAATTCTATTAAAATCGGATACCTCAATTCTGTCAAAAATACAGCTAAACTAAATTTATACTTTAAAACTAAAAATTTTAAATAAAAATTGTTATGAAGTAATGAAAATACTACTTTAAAAAAATTTGGAAAATAAAGCCCTTGAAAACAGAGATGATAATGATAGATTCTGTATAGGGGATTTTTTTATCTTTTTTGGTTCACGATTCCGAGGATAAATTTCGCATATCACAAATCAAAAAAGTACGTGATTGAGGGAGAATTTAGATCTATTAGTAAACAATTAGAGTCTATTGGAAAACAAACTAAACTAAATTTAGATAAAAATAATTCAAAATTTTAAATAAAAATTATGATAAAATATATAGTAACAGAATGAAGTTTAGAATGAATAAAATAATAAAAAGAATTGTTTAACTTAGAGACCGGCAAAATCTAACTTCCGGGATCCAGAATTGGGATTTTTTCTTAACCGTTGCCGGGACGGGATCCCGAGGGATAAATCACTAAAAAATCCCGGAAAACTAAAAAAAATCCGGGATTTCGGGATCCCGGAAAATCCCGTCGGGATCCCGTCCCTCACCGGTCTCTAGTTTAAATAAAATTTGAAAAGTAAAAAATTAGGAAATCGTTTCTTTCAATTTTTAACGTCTTTTTGCAATAAAACGCAAAACTTGTCCCTCACTTTTTTTTAAAAATACCCACGTTTTAAACCCGAAAATTTAAAAAAACACACAGAAACCCTTGTAAACCAAAAAATTTAAAATCAAAAAGTTCTCTAAAATATCAATTTCCTTACGGATTACTTTCTTCAATAGACAGTCTCTCTATCATGCTCAAGTTCTGTTTTTCCGACGGTGTTTATATCCAATGTAATTGTACCATGAGGAACAAAATCTTCGTTTTTGACGTTGAAATGACTCTAAAAATTAAAATTAAAAATATTTCCTAGTTTCTTTCCAACCGCATACAAAACATCGTCTTTCCCAAAAAATATATTTTCACTCCAAACAACAATAAATTGAATATTTTCTATATTCCACTCAATTTTAAATTTTTGTATTTTGCAATAATTTAAAGCCCCTATTTCTTGTGTTCCAACAAAATCTGTGATTCTTTTCGAATCTCCTACAGTGTTGTATTCAATATAAATGCAGTAAGATAATTCTTTTATATGTGCTACTCCAGGAGTAACACAAATGTTTATTTCGTGTTTAAATGATCCTAAAATTATATTTATAATTAGGAATAATAATACCCCCCCCCCCACCTTTAAAATAAGCTCCGGGCTTATTTTAGAGCAAACGGTAATGGTGGACAAGTGAAAACAATCCAAAAACAAGTGAAAAAAATCTGACCTTTATATAATTATTAAACTTTCCTCTACCAATTTCATTTTAATAATTAAAATGAAATTGATAATTTAAATAAGTACCGGGAGTTACTTTGAAAATTAATAAACAAAAAATCTTATCAAACCATTTGTTTTACATGTATGTGGCTGAGTTTCTTCAAAATTATCAAATAATCCCCTTCTATTCATATAATCAAACGTCATATAAGTAATTTTTCCTTTACATTCTTTACTCCGAGCTTTACATCTCCAATTAAAAGTTCTTGTTCTTGGCTGATTACTCGTGTATTTGAAACATTTGTAAATTCGGGTTTTGATAAAATAAATGTGATCACCTGTTATTTAGTATTTACTTAGGGTGTGTCATAAGTAGGGCTCGGATTTTAAGTCGTAAAAACTTAAAAATAGGTACCTAAATTGGTTGCAAAAACGCTAAAATATATGATAAAATTCCGAAGATAGGTTAAAAAAAGGTCGAAATAATAGGAAAAATGAAAAAAATGCCTAATAATTTCTATTTTTCGTTTAAAAATTATATCGGTAAAGCAAAAACGATAAAAATATTTTTCAAAATTTTCAATGAAAAATTATCGTTAAAAAATTTTTTGAATTTTTTAGAAAAAATTTCTCAAAAATTGAATTTTTTTGGTATGATTAGAAAAATGACAAAATTTTTGAAAATTTTCAAGTGTTTAAAAAATTGATGAATTTTTGATAAAAAATCGTTTTTACGAAAAATATAAAAATATGTTACAACCTATTTTAAGTTGCTCAAGGAACATAAATAATTTTTTTTTACTTTTTTAAATTTTTCGTTTGGAAAATAGGTGGGAAGAGATTCCTTGTTTGTACATAATTAAGGAACCCTCATCTTTGTATTTATTTTGTTTGTATTTTAAATTTATAAATTACAGACTTAAAAACTACCTGTAATTATTTCAGAATTTAATGAAAATCCCTGATCAAATTCACTTAAATTTAATTGAACTCCAGAAGCAAATTGAATGTTGTTAATTAATTGATTCATATTTATTAATTCCGGTTGCTTATATTTTAGAGCTTTATATCTTTCTTTCTCTAAAGAAGTGATTTTTATTATATGTAGATCGAAGATGTTAATATGGAATGGAAATTTTAATATTATGAAAAAAACAAAATTAATGCTCGGACAGCCCAATTTTAAACAGACCTTGCTCTCTTTGATTAATCATTTCTTGTGTTACCACAAGGTATTTTTGATTCTTGTTTTCTATTTCATTTGGATTGTTTTGTAAATTAGGCATTGAAGAAGATTCACCTTGACTTGGAATTGTTGGAAATTCTGTATAAGGATGGTGTGGGGGTTGATGATGTATTGGTTGTTGATGAGACGAGGGTTGAGGGTGATAATCTTCGTTGTACATTTGTTGTGGGATTTGTTGAGGGGGATGTTGATGGGGGATTTGTTGGTTATGTTCCCACAGATTAAAATTATCTAAACATTTTAGTTAAATTTTTTTTTATTATTCATTAATTGCTTAAAAATTCTTAGAATTTTTAAAAATTTAATTACCATATCCATAGTTATGATAATTGCTTTCCTATAATTAATTTTTTAAATATTTTTATAAAACTAAATTTAGAATTCGCGGGTTAACCGAAAATAAGAATTAGGTCAGTTACTACTAACTTGTTGTGACCTATAATTTTGAATAACAAACCGGAGGATTAAACCATTGTGGACTATTATTTGGGCTATAAATTGGTTGATCGTGAAAATCTCTAATATAACGATTAAAATCATCATCATCATTGTCAGTTCCAAAACATTTAGAAAATAACAAAAGTAAAGTTAGAGCATTTAAATAAATCATTTTAAAAATGAATATTTCTAGCTAAATTTATAATATTTTTTGAGATACTAGTAAAAATTTACTTATAATTCTTATAACTCCAAAAAAACTAATTTAATTTTAATAAAAAATGATTCCAGAAAAAAGCTTTTTTATTCAGACTACATTTTCCATTATTTGCCTGTCGGCTTGAATTGTATCGGTTATAAACAACTGAGATAGATTTAAGTTTAGTCAAAAATTTAAATAATTATTTATTTTTATTAATTATTATAATTACTGTAATAATTACTCTAAAATAAGGTAAATAATAAATATAAAGTGTTGAGGGGATACACTCTCATTTTTGACTTTGGGGGGGGGGGGGGGTGGGGAGGGGGGGATACACTCTCATTTTTGGCAAATAGACATATAGTACAAGGGCTTTACAGCCCTTTAAAATTTAATAAACATCCTATGATTGGTTCATTAATTATTAATTTTTAACGAGACGTACTATGTAAATCATATGAATTAATCAATTATAAATTTCAAAATTGCTTTAAAATAATAATTATTAAATTAATTTACAAAATTTTAAATTAAAAATAATTGTTGAATAATTCCAGGAAGTTTAGATAAAATTTGGAATATTATAACTAGGGATAGGTTTTATATTAAAATAAAATTGAAAAATATCGCCATAAAATATTGAAATAAAATGGCAAAATATTGACAAAAAATGCCAAAAATTAGCTAAATATTGAAATAAATTATCGTTTATTCACTAGCAAAAACTCAAAAAAAGTTGAAATTTAAAAAAGAAAATTTAATCACATTTTTAAAATTGCACATTAACTTTATAGTTCGTCGTATTGGGTATTTTAACTCTCCCGGATATTTTAAAATGACGAAATGAGGATGAGACAACCAAATACTGATCCGCTTCTACTTTTATAAACATTTTAGAAACATTAAAAGGTTCATAGGCCTTTTACTCTCTAAATTCTGAATAATGTTTTTCTTGTCTAAAATAAAATTTTATTGTAGGTCCACTTACTTCCACTTATATCCTTCTTAATTAGTGTAATGCAGATGGATTAAGTCCAAAATTTTATAAAATCCTGTCAAATTTGGAAGGCCTTAGGAAAAAAAATTCAATTGGTAGATTTTAGCCACTCAACTTCCGATCAACCAAAGAAAAACTTGGAGAAAATATAAATATTTCCTTCTCTTTTCATTTAAAAAGTTGATTACAAAGTACGAGAGTTGCGAGCCTATTTGCTCGTATTTGGCCAACTGAGACCCAGAAAACCTACAAATTATTTTTCAAAACAAGGACAAAGACTTCCAGTCCTTCCAATTGGATTATTAGCTTTAGGAATTTCATTAGCCTTAATGTTACCATGTCTACGGCCTTCAAACAATGCTATTAAAGTAAAAAATAATTTTTTTATTTTTGGTTTTATTTCTTTCAAATAACAAAATTAGATTCATAAAATATATTTTAAAGATTGTTTGGTTAATACTAGGTTTTTAAACTAAAGGGAAGATTAAACTCAAAATTGTCTCTTCTTTTGCGTACACTTCTTAGAAGCTTTTTAGTTTTTAACCAAATACTGATACGCTTCTACATTTAGAAACATTTTAGAAATATTAAAAAGTTTTATAGGCCTCTTACTCTCTAATTAACAGCCCTTTAAAATTTAATAAACATCCTATGATTGGATTATTAATTATTAATTTTAAACGAGATGTATGTAAATCATATGAATTAATCAATTATAAATTTCAAAATTGCTTTAAAATAATAATTATTAAATTAATTTACAAAATTTTAAATTAAAAATAATTGAGATTGTTGAATAATTCCAGAAAGTTTAGATAAAATTTGGAATATTATAACTATAGGGATAGGTTTTATATTAAAATAAAATTGAAAAATATCGCCATAAAATATTGAAATAATATGATTCTACAGGACAAACCCCGCAAAAAATGAGAGATTGGAGATATTTATAACGAGCGATTGGAAATTTATTAATCAAATTATTAAGAGATTTCAATTAAGCTAAACTAAATTTATACTAAAAATAATCCAAAATTTTAAATAAAACTTGTTGAAAATTAAAGAAAAAAATTTATAATGTAAATACTAATCTAAGGGAATTAAAATTGAGGAATATGGTTCTGGTCAATTTTGATGTATTTTTTGCAAATAAAATAAATAACATTCCCCGCACTTCCGTTTGTATTTAAAATTTAAAAGATAATTTTTTCCTCGGATTAGCCATCCAATTTTTGAGTGTTTATGAAGCCAGAATTGACCAAAAAGCTAAAGATTATATAAAATTTTCGAGAAACCTCGGAAACCACGAAAAGCCGGATTTAATCAAAATACCTGTTTTACCGGTTACTTGACTCGGAAAACACGGTGTCGTGCCCGGGTTCGAACTCTAGTTTAAATAAAACCCTTGAAAAGTAAAAAAAATTGAGGAATTGGTTAAGCCTTTTTCAACATGAATAATAACTTAACCCCATCACTTTTTTGTAGTTAAGGATTATTGATCAAAATTTGGCTTTAGTCTAGTTTATGAGTCCAATCGAACTTTAAGTTGTATCAAAAAATAATTGAATTTTTCTTGGTGTTGCAAAATTGGCTATAACCATCAGAAATTTAAAGGGAGAGGGTAAGGAAAGGTCCAAGACTTTGGAGGCTAGGTCCCAAAGCATGAAGAAATGTTTTAGAACCATACCCCAGCTTTGCAATATAAAAAAATCCAGATCTTTTTTATTGAAAGGATAAATTCCGAGTGGACTCATAAACCAAAATTCACCTTTGAATACCCATGTTTGAACCCTGGAAATCAAAGTAGCCCCAAAAACCCTGTGTAAACCAAAAATTTGAAATAAAAACAAAAAAATCTCAAATATCTGGGATTAATCCCTTCTTTTTATCATATTTGAGTTTAGTTTTTCCGACGGTGTTTATATCCAATGTAATTGTACCATGAGGAACAAAATCTTCGTTTTTGACGTTGAAACGACTCTAAAAATTAAAATTAAAAATATTTTCTAGTTTTCTTTCCAACCGCGTACAAAACATCGTCCTTCCCAAAAAATATATTTTCACTCCAAACAACAATAAATTGAATATTTTCTATATTCCCCTCAGTTTTAAATTGCTGTATTTTGCAATCATTTAAAGCCCCAATTTCTTGTGTTCCAACAAAATCTGTTTTTCGGGTTAAATTTCCTACAGTGTTGTATTTAATATAAATACAGTATGATAATTCTTTTATATTTGTTACGCCAGGAGTAACACAAATGTTCATCCCGCGTTCAACCGAACCTTAAATTATATGTAAAATTAAGGAATTAATAAAGACCAAG